CTCCTCTGCCCACTTCGTCTTCGGGCCTGTCTCTTATACACATCTCCTCTACCTCACCCCCCTGCCCCCAAGTGCGTGCACATGCACAATCTCCTCTGCCTCTCTTTCTCGCGTTGATATTTTTCTCTCTACCGCAATCTCTTCTTCCTGCCTTCTTTTCAGTCATGCAGTCACATACCCAAGGATGACTATGCCCCGCCCCCAAGTGCATGCACATGCACAATCTCCTCTGCCTCTCTTTCTCTCGTTGGTATTTTTCTCTCTACCACAATCTCTTCTTCCCGTCTTCTTCTCAGTCATGCAATCACATACCCAAGGATGACTATGCCTGTTAATCAGCACTTTTTTCTCCCACTACAAGTGAAATTCATGAACATCTTTGAACAACCGAGAGTAGCTACTTCTTACGAGCTATAGATTCATCCAATCACATACATACGTAAAGTATGGATGGATGTTTGGTCGGCTGGCTGGCTGGTTGGTTGGTTGTTTCATACATTTTTTAGTACAGGCAGTAGTTCACATGTCCCCAAAGCAGCCGTTGAACATTGCCCACCAACTCCAGTTTCCCCTGAATGGCATTTGGGTCCATACCACCAGGTTGTTCTTCTCCTGGATGGTGCTCTTAAGCTTGGCATCCATCTTCTCAATCCTTTCCTTCGTTTTCTCAAGCTCCTTACGCATCCCTTCCTTCTCCTTGAGCAGTGCGGTTGATTGCAACTTAATCAGCATCAGCTCCTTTCGAGCATTCGCAAGTTCTCCACGAATAATACCAACCTCCTGAAGATGCCGCTGCCTTGACGCCTGGATTAAGAACCATCCAGAAACAAAATCCAAGCAGGTTAGTGCCTACCCCCAGTCAAAAAAAATCTCCACATGTGCAGAGACACATTCATACACCAAAAAAACTCTTTTCCGACTGCTTTCTCAAGCTTTTGCTTAACCAAAATCAAAGGAAAGCGGACACAAGATTGGCAAGTTCAGATCCTCAAAAAGTTGAGTTCAAGACGGCATGCCCTAGACAGGTCAGATTACAAGACGATGGGATGAGATGCACTCCCAACACAAATTTCCCTTCCTGATGAAGGAGACAAATTGAGCCTCCCAACTTTACTCTGTTCTTAGTTTTCAATCACAGACATAACTTCTCTGAGGCATTAAATTTAACAGCTGTCACGTTTGCCCAGCTGCATATCAATTCCCATGCTTCACAATGAGCCTCAGATGTACCAGTATCTACAGCCCTGAGTTACAGGATACCACCCTTGTGGTAAGAGAAGTTTCGCTCCACTTATGGTCTGTGGAGGCTGGGAATCAGTTAGATACGGGCTCAGCTCTGTGCAAAAGGGCTTAGGGGAGTGAGCTTTGTACGCCTGCAGGAGCTTTGTACGCCTGCAGGAAGTGTACAGGAGAACTAGCAAACTCTTGCAGTGGGTGACGTATTTTGCATAGCGATACAGATAAACCATATTTAAGTGTGAAATGATGAGATCTGAATATCAGTGTAATGATGTGATCGCATGTCATGTGGCAGTGCAGACAGCCAACACACCACGCAAAAGAGAAGACACAAGACAGAAATAGAATGGTGACAAAAGTCCCGGGTCAGCTTCCACAAAAAAAATGAACATTACAAACACTGCAAAAAGGTTCGGTGAGACCCAGATATTCCCAGCTCATCTTTTTCTCCCCAAGGACAACGGCCTTGGGATATCATCACTGAACTGACCGGCCAATGCACTTCATAATTCTTATTTTGTTCTGCTCATCTGATTGCATCCCGAATCGAACTTGGGTCTCCATTTCATTAGTCCATCGGTGTACCAAATGAGCTAGGCCCGCTGATACTTCCCAGCAGATCATATCCATACCATATTCCGGTTCTGCTTTCCTGCGAATAAAAACACCATAGAAAATGAAATCGCAAGATCGAATTTGCTGAGGCAACTGCACAGTGGATGTACCACACACGCACCTCAATCTGCTTTGAATTGTCTCACCACGCTTTGGTGAAAGAATGACCCAGACCACAGCACTTTCTCCCCACACTCACTGCCCTTCTAACTCCCAACCTCCCCTTCCTCTTAGACTTTTCACACAAACACAGGCACATCCCCACATTTTGCCTGCAAAGATTGGGGCAACCTAACACCTAACATGAAATCAAGGAGGCAGGCAGGCACATGAGGCATGAGAAAGTGACACCCTGTCCCTATTATTAGGGCACACAGGTCACAAGTTTGGAATAATTTCAGCAATTGAGAGCATAACAAACTACTTGTTTGAGACCAATCTGAAGTACCTCGAGCTCGTGCACGGCATCGGATGCCGTTGCCCTTTCACTGCTGAACTGACTCCCCACATCAGCCAGCCTCCGGAATACATCATCCTGCATCATCATAATGATCATCATCATCACCATCATCCTCAAATATCGCAAGCAATGACTGAGCATTTCTTACAGCAGTGTGGTACCTTTCCGGCACTTCCATGACGGCTGGTGCACGCAGCTTCTGGGACACACGCAGTTCTTCTCCTTTTCTCCCTCGTCCACCTCCACTTTCTTGGACGTCGCTTATAAAGCTAGGCGTGGCTCGCAGGGGTTGGAGGAGCAAAACACGGCATCTCATCCATTGCACACCCCAATCAGCACATCCAAACGCTCCAAAGCGAGCTTAGCTCTCATCCACAACATCCATTCATTCAGGCATGTGGCCAGACAACCTCAGCACATGCACGAGCGAATGCAAGTGGCCAGATGACAAACTTGAGGGAGTTCTAAGGGCCAGATGACAAACTTGAGGAGTTCTAAGGGCCAGATGACAAACTTGAGGGAGTTCGAGGACCAGATGACAAACTTGAGGGAGTTCATCACAAAGAAAACTTAACAGTGCACTGAAGCATTGTGACCAGACAACCAAGCATAAACTTTTGGCCAACGCAAAGAGAAACTGCACAGCAAGAATTGATAGTGATTTTATCAGAAATTTATCCGTTATGAGCAAACAGAATGGCTAAGCAGAAGACAGCCCTTGACGAAATTAACACAACAACCGCACCTGACCATCATCACTTAACAATGCAAATACAGTTTTGGAGTTCACCAGAACATTATGGCAAACAATCCAACTGCAAAACAAGGAAAAAAAAGGGGCCCGAAACAATATGGCAAAAATGCATTTTCAATTTTTCAATAATTTCATGCAAAATCACCCGTAACATTCTTTCAGGATTTTCAGGGTTTGCCAAGCAGCCATATCAAAGGCTCCAACAAACATCAAACTTGTCGCATACAAAAAGTGACCCACAAAAAAAAAAAAAAAAAAAAAAAAAAAAGAGCAAAAAAAAAAAACCCAGAGAAAGTCTGAAAAAGTTAGAAAAACTGCAAATTTTGTCTCCAAATGCCCTTCAACCGTTTGGAACTGAACAGATTAGGCCTCTGTTAACCACATCCGTAGATCAAAGAAGACATTTGACCTTCCAAAACCAACTAGCACCCCTGCCACACTCACCGTTCTTTCCATTTAAAACCGAGATCCTTCCTCCTGTTCCTGGAACCTCATTGTTCACAAAAGGCCATGAGTCAGCCCTTGTCTTACCGATTTTGTACAAGTACTACGATATTTGCACCATGAAATGGGAGCCAGCATGCCATACAACAAAAAAAGAAGTTAAACCATGTGCAGATAGTTCTAAGGGGACGGAATCAATAAGCGGATTCATGAGTTACAAGGAACCAAACAGGCTTTTTGCCTCAGCCTTCAATGGCAACAGTTAGAAATTGAGGTTCTTCGATGTAAAGAAACCAGTGTCCAGAGACATGAGACAATTTACTGTACAACAACAGCATCGAATTAATAATCCTGCTGATGGCACCCATGATGTATGGGCTCTGTTCAGTCCCAAACCCTGATGTCACTGCCCACCTCAATCCTCCTCTTCACATAAGGTCAGCCAAGGCAAAACAAGTAAAGGGAATCTAGAGGGCTTTTTGACACCTTCTCAGACTCCATCGCTTCCAGTCTCTGTAAAATGCCTTGACAATGGACCTCTTGCTCTCCTGCTGCCCTAGCCTGCTCCTCTATTCTCCGTTCCACTTCCTCCCTCACATTCCTGAGCTTTTCAGCCTGTAGCATCCTCTCCTTCTCAGAATCTTCAAGTCTCTTCTTTAGTATCTCGAGTTCCTTCTGGCAATAGATCTTCTCTTGCTCACATGCGTTCAGCCGCCTAGCAAGGTCCTGTGCCGATCCTTCTAAATCTGCCATTCCTGCAACTGCGGTAAGCCGCCCTTGCTCTGAATCTGCAAGCCTCTTTGCCAAGTCTTCCTCCCGCTGCATGCTTGCTTGGAGACTAATCTTAACTGCAACAACATCTTCGCTCACTGGTAGTCTGGATTGTTCCTCTGCCCTCAGCTTCTCACCGCTGAGACAACACTCTTCCTCAAGCTCGCCCACTCTCAGATGGAACACCTGCAGGTTCTCCTGCAATTGCGTAAGCTCGTTGTGCAGTTTATCTTTTTCTGCAAGCATGCTCATTTTCTCCCCCTCTGAGGATAACAGCTGCTCTTTCTGGGCTTCGATGGTTTGTTGGAGCAGTTGCTGGACTTTCTCCAGTTCAGAGATGCCCGCAACAGACTCCTCCATGCCCTCTGCCCGTGTGTTTGCCACCTCAAATGCCTCAGTAATTCTACCAAGTTCTTCTTGCAGATCTGCCTTATCTGACACCACGATCTGCCTTGCCTCCTCTGAGGCTTTGAGCATTTTTTCCAGATCGGCTTCTCTCTGCGAGCTGAAACTAAGAGACCCCTTCATTCCCTCCATTTCCTTCACGAGTGTCAAATTCTCCGCCTCTGCTTCTCTCAGTCTTTCAATTTGCAAATTCCTGGCTTCCTCGACCATTGCAACAGACTCTCCCAGACGACCTGCAAGTGCAATTGACCTATCCAGTTGCCCCTTTGTTCTGTCAAGTTCCTCCTCCAGAGCACCCTTGTTGGACAGCGCAGCCTGCCGAGCTTCCTCTAATATTTTCAGCTCTTCCTCCAGATCGCTCTTCCTCTGCAAACTGACACCAAGGGACACCTTTGTCTCCTCCATCTCTTTTGTAAGTTTCGAAGTCTCCATCTCTGCTTCCCTAAGTTTTTCCGTTTGTGCATTTCTCACGTCCTCGATGAATGAAATAGACTCCTCCAGACACTGCACACGTGCATTTGACCTCTCCAGCTCCCTCTTCATAGTTTTAAGCTCCTCCTCCAGATCAGCCTTTTCAGACATTTCGACCTGCCTTATTTCTTCTAAAGCTTCCAGCTCTTTCTCCAGATCATTTTTCCTCTGCAAGTTGATACCAAGAGACACCTTCACCTCCTCCACAGCTTCGCTAAGTTGCAAGTTCTCCATCTTTGCTTCCCTGAGTTTTTCCGCAATGGACGACAAAGTCTCCTCCAGACAATGCATGCGTGCACTTGACGTCTCAAGCTCTCCCTTCATCGTTTTAAGCTCCTCCTCCAGACCCGCTTTCTCAGACATTACGACCTCCCTGGCCTCCTCTGAGGCTTTCAGCTCTTTCTCCAGATCATCCTTCTCCTGCGAACTCACTTTAAGAGTCCCTTTCCACTGCTCCACTTCTTTGCTAAGTTTCAAAATTTCGATATCTGCTCCTCTCAGTTTTTCCATTTGGCCATTCCTGGTTTCCGTGAGGGTTGCAACAGACTCCTCCAGACAAAGTGCACGCTCTCTTGACCTCTCAAGCTCCCCTTCGACCCTTTCCAGCTCCACTTCCAGAGCCGCCTTATCACACACTGTGGCATGCCAAGCTTCCTCTGTGATGTTCAGCTGTTTCTCGAGAGCATCCTTCCTCTCCAAACAGACAGCGAGGGAGCCCCGCATCTCGTCCATAGCTTCCATCGCCTTTCTCAGACTTTCCATTTGCGAATTGGCAATCTCAAGTTGCCCCTTGACCCTAACAATCTGCTCTTCCAAAGCTGCATTTTCTAAAGTTGACAACTTCCGAGCTTCCTCTGAGGCTGTCAGCTGTTTCTCTAGATCATCCTTCCCCTCCAGAGTTACACTGAGTGAATGCCGGAGCTCCTCCATCTCTTGCCGAAGTGTCAAGTTTTCCGAATCTGCTCCTCTCAGTTTTTCCATTTCCACATTCTGCTGGTCCTCGAGCTCCCTAATTCTCTTGGATGATATCTCCAGGGACTCGTTCATCCCTTCATTMTTTTCTGCTTGCAACCTGCATTGACTGACAAGCTCCTCAACTCGTGCCTTTGACAACTCCAGTTCCTTGTCCACCATTCTGAATTTGTCATCAAGCTTGTCCCGCTCCAGAA